AAATGGGTCAAGGGCTTGGGTCTACTATGTGAAATGAGTGGGCTTGTTGCCCATAACAAATAAAAACACAAACCAACGGAGTGCCGGTTTATGCAGTGCTTTATTCGGGGCCCCGGGAACCTGAGGACTAGCGTCCCAAGTCAGGATTCCAAAGACCTCTATTCTCAGTTCAGCTTTTATACACAAACAAGTTTACGTGCAGTTTCCACAGCAAAACAGTTACAAGCAAGCTCATACTTCATACTGATAACAATTAATAATCATCTACTCTAATCATAAATCTTCTTAAGTTGTCTTACTCCTAGAAACTGATTAACAGACCCTTACCACATCCCAGGTAACAAATCATTATATACGTGCTTGACTAAATCCTTTGATTGTTGTTACCATCTCTTCAGCACATTCCATGCTCACAAACAAGGTTGCTAACTAACTACTTTGGAGTGTTGCTTTCTAGGCCTACTCTCTTACTAAACCTTAGCCATTCTACTACTAAATTCGAATTATTCTGCAACATGTCCCCCCTTTTGAGCATTCTTCTGCAAGAAGAGCATTTGCCTGCAAGGATGCTCAAACGTAGAAATCTTCAAGCTGTAGTTTCTTGATAGGCAGGAGGTGATCCATCTTGCGGTGAGATTACTTCTTTTCTTGTTATGACTTTCATGATGCGTCTCGTATGTTGACCTTCTTTTACAATCATTCCTAAAAGACACTTATAAACAGTTATGGCTATGACAATAATTATTACAATCAGAATTCCGTACTGGATAACAGAAGATATCCATCCTGACACATGAAGACCTAGGGAGCTGAATAATTTTCCTATCCAATTGTGTTCTGCTTCCTTTTGTAGTTCATGAACATTCTCGTCAATTTGTTCGAGTTGATCAATGTCTTTTTCAACTTCTTGAGTGACATTTGGGATGTGTACACAACAATGCTCGTTCTTTGCATGCAGGTAGCCACAAACTCCATGTTCTTTGAGTAATATCAGGTCTAATCCCATGCGATTTTGTATAGTCATTCTAGAGGTGGCTTGTGATTGTAAATTTAGATCTTTAAATCCTTTCTTAGTGACTGCTGCTAACCTTTCAGTTTGTCCCATTAATTTAAACAACATCTCTCTGTTACGGTATGTTGAGATTGGTGCAAACAGAGACTCTAAGACCCATCCAAGTTTAACTCCTGCTGATGGTTCATGCCAATCTCCCAACCCCAAATCATCAATATCTTTACTAATTTCTCTTTTTCTCCGTGGTCGTATTTCTACTGATGTTAACTTATCTTGCTTCCAGAATGGACAGAGAGTAGGTATCCCTAGTGTGACAGGTACAACCGGACCATCTATTGGTATGTGGGTGGTCCACTGGCCATGCCCCATTACCCACACTAAATTTCCTGGACTCCTAACTGTGGTGGTACGGCAATCAATGTTTTTCACAGATCCCTTAATAGTATGATTATATCCCTGACATTCACATCCTAACCGTAAAAGTGTTTTGACTGGTATTAAACCTATTTCATCGTCTGGGGTATCACATGTGTATATTCGAGTACAATTCCAATTCTCCTTTGTGCGTGTTTCTGTCCTCCAATTATGATTTCCTCTATTTCCTGTAGAATAAGTTTGATTCTTTTTCCCTTTCCAGTAAATACACCACTGTACTTTTCCAATATAACTATAAGTTTCTAATAGGTTGGGTCCCCAAATTGTTTGCCACTCTTCCATGGTTGTAGAGCTAGTAATATTTTGACATACTTCTTCTTGTTTTTCTCGTTTTATTTGAGCTGGAACTTTAAAACATGGGTATATTACTGAATCTGTAACTAAACAAGATCCCTTTAATTTGTCAATGTTTTCGCTTGTTACCCATGTTCCAACTACTACCCATTGGAAAAATCCAGGCATCTGCTCACATTGTTTTTTAGTCATTTTGTCCCTTAATAAACATACATCTGTCACTTCATTCCATGTTTTGGTTACAAACCTGGAATTCCATGTAGCATTCTTAAACACTTTAGGAATTTCTGGCACTGGAATTATTCCCCATGGGATTGGGTCTCCTGCAGCATGAGGCATAGGGAGACACGCAGTGATTTTTGTGACATTCTGTACTTTCCCAAAATCACGAATTAGGCCTACGTCTAGGTTTTCTTGTCCCACTTCTCTATCTGGAATCTGCAGGTTACTTACTTGCCGGGTTATTCTTTCAGTCCTTATGTAGACGGCAGTAATTCCGGTATCCCACCAGTCGTCTCTATTTATCCAGCAAGTATATTGGCCCTCATCTTCTCCTCTTCGTATTTCTTTGATTTTCAAAACCATTGCATCTGCTCTCTTTTCAATCTGATGTCTCTTCCCGACTTTCAAGTTCTGTCCTTTAAACCACCACCCATATTCAGAATACTGTCCTTCTGGAATTTTGCAACTTAGAATCAGATCTTTTCCTTCCTGGGCCGGGTAAACACTGTATTCTGGTCTGACTCTTACTCCTTGATGTGGTACGGCTACTGCTGTCCTTATTCCATAATCTTTTTCTTCTCCACATGTGACCACACAAAGAAATGTACCTTCTGTCTTTCCTATTCTGGGATTAGAAATATTCAGCCACCCTTTACCTCCCTTACTATTTGACCACCAGCTAACTCCTTGACTTTGTGATTCCCAAGATTGATTTGTTATATTCAATTTCCACCATTTTACTTTAACTGACTTTTGACAATTATCAAATTGGAAAGTACAATTGATTTTTAAGGGAGGACCATCCCACATGTCCGATTGTTTCCTAGTGGGTATAACTCGCACTTTGGTCGCCGCTTTCTGAGTCGTGTTTATTGTCCGTATTTCTATATTTCCATAATCAAAACTTTCCCAAATCCAAACTACACACATATATGTACCTTCCACAGCCTTAGACACCTTGGGTACCTGCAGAACGGTGTAACCCTTTTGTTGTGTAGCATCCCAAACTGTTGTCACTCCTTCTGTCATGATTTGATCTTGATCTCTCCATCTCCACTTGACTTTGACATCTCTTAATTCAGCTCCCTGGTCATCAGAAAATAAACAGGTTAAGTTTACATCAGTAACCTCAGGTACCAGCAAGTAAGGGTCAGGGGTTTCAATTTTTACAAAGGTCTCTGCCAAACCTATCAGTCCCAGAAATGTTAAGACTTTCAGGTGGTAGTTCGACGAAACACCATTTTTGTCTGTGAGAGAGGCTCTACTGACCACGAGACGGGAATCTTCTTGACCCGAGTGTAATGGATCCAGCTGTCGATTCCTTCGACTTTTACTGCCGTGTAGGTCGTCATTATCACCTGATGTGGGCCATCCCATGTCTCTTTCAGCGGCTCCACCGACCAATTTCTTACTTAGACTTGGTCTCCCGGAGAAATATCATGTACTGGATTCTCCAGGGGCAGAGGTCGATTCCACTGCAATGCTCCTCTGAGGGCTGTGAGAGTCTTATTTAAAGATAACACATAATTAAATACTGCTTGATCACCCACTATATGAGGATCCCCTTGGTAGGTAGCTGCATGATAGGGTTTGCCATACAATATCTCATATGGACTTACTCCTATTCTCTCCCTTGGTTTGATCCTGATCTCAACAAGGCAAGAGGTAGTGCTTGGGGCCACTGAATTTTTGCTTCTTGACAGATTTTCTTTAATTGACCTTTCAATGTCTGATTCATCCTCTCTACTTGCCCGCTGGATTGCGGTCTCCATGGTGTATGGAGATTCCATGTTATTCCTAGTGCGATGGATATATCTTGCACTATCCCTGCGGTAAAGTGTGGCCCTCGATCAGATGATAACCCTAGAGGTATCCCAAATCTCAGAATAATTTCTCTCAGAAGTGTTTTAACTACTTCCTTTGCTTGATTAGTCCTGCATGGAAAGGCTTCTGGCCATCCTGAAAAGGTACAAACATATACTAACAAATACTTATAGGATTGCATCTTAGGCAACTCAGAAAAGTCTATTTGCCAATAATCTCCTGGTAACTGTCCTATCTGTAACTTTCCCATTTGTACCTGTTTTCTGACTACTGGGTTATTCTTTATACATATGGGACACATTGCATTTACCCTTTTTGCTAGTGTTAACATCTGGTTTGAGAGAACCTCATTTTTCAAAAATTTTACCATTACTTCTGCACCCCAGTGGCACTTATTGTGTTCCATTTCGAGTACTGCTTTCATTATTCTGACAGGTAAAATCACTTGTCCTGTGGGAGAAATGTACCACCCTTTAACATTTTTCTTTGCTTCTGTCATTTGAGCTAATTTCTCATCTTCCTGTGTATAATATGGTTTCTCTTCCATAAATGCTGTTGCTGGATTATTTTGAACAGGCAAAAGAACCATCTGAGTCCATACCTCTCTTGCGGCTTGTTTAGCCACTTGGTCAGCTTGTCGATTACCTTGAAATTCTCGTCCGGGGTCAGTCTGATGTCCTTTGACATGCATTATTGCTACTGCTGAGGGTTTGTGTATTGCCTCTAGCAATTGTAAAACTTCTTCTCGATGTTTAATCGTTGTCCCCTGAGAAGTAAGAAGTCCTCTCTCTTTCCAGAGTGCTCCGTGAACATGAACTACCCCAAAAGCATATTTGGAATCAGTCCATATATTAACTCTCCTTCCTTGGCTTAATATTAAAGCTCTCACTAATGCCCATATCTCAGCCTTTTGTGCAGACGTACCTGGGGGTAGTGCATTTGCTTCTATCACCTGTTGTAGAGTGACCACTGCATACCCAGCATACCTGGTGCCATTTTCTACAAAACTAGATCCGTCGGTGTACAACTCCCAGTCAGGATCTGTCAATGGTTCGTCCTTCAAGTCTCTTCTGCTCGCGTAGACTTGTTCAATGGTCTCTACACAGTCATGCTCCAGGATACCTTCTTCCTGTGTAGACCTAAGGAATTCTGCTGGGTTGAGATGGTTAGTGATTTTCAGTTCAACATCATCTTGTTCTCTTAACAAAGCTTGATACTGTAACATTCGGCTAGATGAGAGCCAATACCCCCCTTTTTGTTCTAAAACTGTTATAACCATGTGGGGCACGTACACTACCATGTGTTTTCCCAGAGTCAATTTTCGTGCTTCTTGTATTAAAATAACCGTCGCTGCCACAGCTCTGAGACACCCTGGCCATCCCCCACTTACTGCGTCTAGCCGTTTGGAGAAATACCCAACCGGTCTCTTCCAGGATCCTAACCGCTGAGTGAGTACTCCTAGAGCCATTCGTTGTCTCTCGCAGACATAGAGCTGAAACTCCTTGGTTAGGTCCGGTAGTCCCAGGGCAGGTGTTTCCTGGAGGGTTCTTTTCAGTTCCCGGAAAGCTTTCTCTTGCTTCGTCCCCCAGGTCAGCTTGGGCTCCTTTACTGCCTCATATAATGGTCTGGCAGTTAGTCCAAAGTTGGGAATCCACAGTCTGCACCACCCGACCATTCCTAAAAAAGATCTTAGTTCTTGATTACTTCGGGGTACAGGGATAGCACATATTACTTGAATCCTATTTGTTCCTAAGCGCCGGGTTCCTTGAGAGATTTCGCATCCCAGATAGATAACTTTCTGTTTTACTAGTTGTGCTTTTTCTTTTGAGACTCGGTAGCCTGCTTGTCCCAACATATTTAACAGTTCAATGGTTAATTGACGACAGAGTCCCTGTTCTGTAGCTCCTAAGAAAATGTCATCTACATATTGCAGTATGATATATGAAAAAGGAGATTCTTTTACCTGAGTAGTCTTCCATTCTTCAAGTTCTTTTGCTAACTGATTACCGAATATCGTAGGTGAACATTTGAATCCTTGCGGTAATCAAGTCCAAGTAAGCTGTCGCTTCCGTCCGGTCTCTGGGTTTTCCCATTCAAAGGCAAAGATTTTCCAACTTTCCCGTGCCAGTGGTATGCAGAAGAAGGCATCCTTTAAATCAATCACTGTAAACCACTGAAATCTCTCAGAAACAGATGTTAACAAGGTGTAAGGGTTAGCTACAACCGGGTGGATATCTTTTGTGATGAGATTTACTGCTCTCAAGTCTTGCACTAACCTGTACTTACCGTTTGGCTTCCTTACCGGAAAAATGGGGGTATTATATTCTGACTCACATTCTTTTAATATCCCTAAAATTAAAAACTGTGTGATCATTGGGGCTATTCCTTTCCTGGCTTCTAAACTAATTGGGTACTGTCGCACTCTAACGGGTTGTGTTCCTTCTTTTAATTCTATTCTAACTGGAATAGCAGCTTTAGATTTTCCAGGGACCCCTGTTTCCCAAACCCAAGGTACCACAGCCTGTTCTATTTCCTGAGGTATCTCTTCCTTTTGTACCTCTTTCACAACGAAAATTTTCGCTAAGTTCTCTTCCGGAATTTCCATTTTGACCCTCCCTTTTTCAAATATAATTTTAGCTTGCAAGGCTGAAAGCAAATCCTTCCTAGTAGACATTCAGGACTGTTGGGCATATACAAAAATTGATGATCTAATTCTTTTCCTCTAAATTTGATATCTAAAGGTTGCAGAAACGTCTTTTCTTCTACCTGTCCTGAAACTCCTACTACCCATGCAGTTGAATCACTTAGTGGCCCCATCAATTTATTCATTGCCGAAAAACTAGCTCCAGTGTCTACCCTAAATTCTGTCGACTCTCCCTCTACTTCTAAAACAACCTTTAAATCCCGGTCTAGCCGACTTTGAGTCTGGTAATTCCCTAACATAAATGCTTGGGCGACACCTTGTGGCGTACCCATGTTAACAGGGTTTTGTGGATTTGCAAAACCTTGGGGATTCCACGGATTTATTCCATTTCCAGCGTTCAGTGGGCATTCGTTTTTCCAATGTCCTTGTTCTTTACAAAGAGCACATTGATTTGGTCCTAACCTACCACGTCCTCCCCCATATTGATTTCCGAATCCTGACTTATTGTTAAATCCTCTACCTATTCCTCCCCTTCCCCTTTTACCGCGGCCTCTTCCTCTATGGCTACCGACCCCGTTGTTCCCCCCTGGAGCTTGCAGGAGTGCTAACAAGCTTGCCTGTTGTCTCTTAGTAGCTTCCTTTTCCCTATTATTGTACACCTTCCATGCCACTCCTAATAATTTTTCCAAATCTCTTGTCTCTGCTCCTTCTAACTTCTGAAGTTTTTTCCTAATGTCTTCTTGTGATTGTCCCATAAAAATCATTGCTAATTGCAATTTTCCTGATTCATCTTCAACATCTAAATCTGTATATTTCCGAGCTGTCTCTTTTAACCTTTCTAAAAAGGCTGCAGGAGATTCCCCCTTATTCTGTCTTACTGAGTATAACTTTGACCAGTTTAGTGTTTTTGGTATCCCACTTCGTACTCCCTCTACCAATAATTCCTGGTAAATTCTTAACCTTTTGTAATCTCTAGGGTCATTCGGATCCCATTCAGGATCCTCCCGCGGCACGAAATCATTCACTGTTCCCCGTGCTGCTCGAGGCAAAGTTCGAATTCTTTCTCTCGCTCTTTCTACCATCACCTTTAATACCATTTCCTTTTCTGTTGAATCCAGAAGTGTATCTAACAATACTTGTAAATCATTCCAGTCCGGATTTTGAGTTTTTATAACCATTTTTATAATACGAGCCACCCGCTCCGGGTTTTCTCTATATGTTCCGGCTGACTGTTTCCAAATTAATAAATCACTAGGTGAAAAAGGAACCTTTACCATGACTTTTCCCCCATTTGCTCCAACTGCTTCCCGCAAAGGAGCCATCAATCTCGGGGGTGAAAGCGAAACTTCCCTCAACTCTCCCCCTCGCCGTCTGTCTCTACTCCTTCCTCGTTCTCTTCGTGCTCTCCGCGTTCGTTCAGCTAAAGGAGTTCTATCAAAATCACATTCTCCCCTTCTCTTTTCTTCCTCATCCGAGGACGATTCTAACGGGGGCATGGTGGGTGATTGTGCCCTCACACGTGAAGGGAGACTATCTCCCGGGGGCGCACTTGGAGTTATGCTGGGGGAGACTAACAAAGACACATCNGAAACGTCTTTTCTTCTACCTGTCCTGAAACTCCTACTACCCATGCAGTTGAATCACTTAGTGGCCCCATCAATTTATTCATTGCCGAAAAACTAGCTCCAGTATCTATCCTAAATTCTGTCGGCTCCCCCTCTACTTCTAAAACAACCTTTAAATCCCGGTCTAGCCGACTTTGAGTCTGGCAATTCCCTAACATAAACGCTTGGGCGACACCTTGTGGCATGCCCGTACCAACAGGGTTTTGTGGATTTGCAAAACCTTGGGGATTCCACGGATTTATTCCATTTCCAGCATTCAGTGGGCACTTGTTTTTCCAATGTCCTTGTTCTTTACAAAGAGCACATTGATTTAGTCCTAACCTACCACGTCCTCCCCCATATTGATTTCCGAATCCCAACTGATTGTTAAATCCTCTACCTATTCCTCCCCTTCCCCTTTTACCACGGCCTCTTCCTCTGTGGCCACCGGCCCCATTGTTCCCTCCTGGAGCTTGCAGGAGTGCTAACAAGCTTGCCTGTTGTCTCTTAGTAGCTTCCTTTTCCCTATTATTGTACACCTTCCATGCCACCTCTAATAATTTTTCCAAATCTCTTGTCTCTGCTCCTTCTAACTTCTGAAGTTTTTTCCTAATGTCTTCTTGTGATTGTCCCATAAAAATCATTGCTAATTGCAATTTTCCTGATTCATCTTCAACATCTAAATCTGTATATTTCCGAGCTGTCTCTTTTAACCTTTCTAAAAAGGCTGAAGGAGATTCCCCCTTATCCTGTCTTACTGAGTATAACTTTGACCAGTTTAGCGTTTTTGGTATCCCACTTCGTACTCCCTCTACCAATAATTCCTGGTAAATTCTTAACCTTTTATAATCTCTAGGGTCATTCGGATCCCATTCGGGATCCTCCCGCGGCACGAAATCATTCACTGTTCCCCTCGCCGTTCGAGGCAAAGTTCGAATTCTTTCTCTCGCTCTTTCTACCATCACCTTTAATACCATTTCCTTTTCTGTTGAATCCAGAAGTGTATCTAACAATACTTGTAAATCATTCCAGTCTGGATTTTGAGTTTTTATAACCATTTTTATAATACGAGCCATCCGTTCCGGATTTTCTCTATATGTTCCGGCTGACTGTTTCCAAATTAATAAATCACTAGGTGAAAAAGGAACCTTTACCATGACCTTTCCCCCGTTCGCTCCAACTGCTTCCCGCAAAGGAGCCATCAATCTAGGGGGTGAGAGCGAAACATCTGTCTCCCTTCCCCCTCCCCGTCTCCTTTCTCTACTCCTTCCTCGTTCTCTTCATGCTCTCCGCGTTCGTTCAGCTAAAGGAGTTCTATCAAAATCACATTCTCCCCTTCTCTTTTCTTCCTCATCCGAGGACGATTCTAACGGGGGCATGGTGGGTGATTGTGCCCTCACACGTGAAGGGAGACTATCTCCCGGGGGCGCACTTGGAGTTATGCTGGGGGAGACTAACAAAGACACATCTTCCTCTGGTTCTGAAAACCGTATTTTCCGCTCCTGACATCCTTTACATTTATCTTCCAGTTCTTTTAAAATCAACATACCACATTCTTTTTGCCATTCAGTCTTACACTTTAAATAATAAAACAAATCTAGATACGGTATTTCATCCCACATCTCATTCTCTCGTAAGTATTGCATCAAGGGGGTTATAATTTCCGGGGTCAAAGTACCATTCCTAGACCACTGCATTCCCTCTGTTTCATATTGGGGCCATACATGATTACAATAATCAATCAATTGTTTCTTGCTTAACTCTTGTCCAAAATTTCCTTCCTTCCAATGCTTCAACAAACAACCAAGCGGAGAATCGCTAGGGATGTCATTTTCTGCACAAGATAGTGCCTTAAAGGTTTTAAACGGCATCATACTGACTCACACACACACACACACACCCCAGTCTAAATTCAAAATCAAATTCACAATAACACAATGATATAAACCAATTACTTATTCCAAAACCAAAACCAAAACCAACTCGCCAATTCTCCCTATGAGTGGCGAGTGCTGGTACAGCGCAGCTTTCGCTACGTCTTACGACCAGCGCCTAGGCTTCCCAACCAAGGTACCTTTAGCCCAACCCAGCGGGTAACTCACGGTCCCGTCTTATAGGCAGGCTCCCAACCAACAAACCTAAAAGAATAAAGCACCTCCGGGCTTACCTGGATGGTTGTCCGTCGGGCGCGGGGTCGGGCACGGGTCGATGTCTCCCCAGAAATCACCTGGATGCCGGCATGGAGTGGATCAGCTCGTGAGTCGCCCCAGCTACCCCCGGAGTCCCACCTCTGGGTCGCCAGAAAACTGTTGCCCGTAACAAATAAAAACACAAGCCAACAGAGTGCCGGTTTATGTGGTGCTTTATTTGGGGCCCCGGGAACCTGAGGACTAGCGTCCCAAGTCAGGATTCCAAAGACCTCTATTCTCAGTTCAGCTTTTATACACAAACAAGTTTACGTGCAGTTTCCACAGCAAAACAGTTACACAGTTACAAACAAGTTCATAGCAGTTTCTACAACAAAACAGTTAC